TATATATATATATATATATATATATACATACATATATATCAGAACTATTATGACTACTACAAATTTACAATAATATATCTAAAAACAATATTTTATTCTATGACACACCTAATTGTTGTTTATTAATATATAGGATTACTGTTGTTCATTTACTAAACACCGTAAGTTGCCATTTCCATAGTTGAATCCCTACTTAATAGTATTTACTATGGGTACTACATGTGAGATTTTTCCCTTTTCTTTCCATTTTTTAGTCGCATCCTTAGTTATTGGAGTACTACACAGCTTACACAATATAAAAATATTCCGGTACACACAGCTCTTTTATCATAAAGTATCACACGAATTCAGTATACAATATATTTAGAAAACAAAATTAAGCTCACCAGAATATATTCTGCTTATGTTACTTAGATTGTGACACTGGAACAACAGGGAACTATGGACCGGGATGCCTTCTTGATTGTCACTGTGACGCTGCTGTCTGTCAGCCGTCAGAGGGCTGCAACGAAGGAGTCACTTGTCATACTGGTTACACTGGCAGCCGTTGTCTAGGTTTGTACAAGTACATTTAGTTTTTATATACCACAATAATTAAATCATCAATTTTAATATAGTAATAAACTTATGATAAGGTTGTTTAAAAAAGAAATCAGAATGCATACAGCCATTAACTAGACTTACTATGTCTGTACAACATAGGGTATCACACCCAAGGTGGACTTGGAAACGTTGACTAGGGTGTTGTGACTATGTGTTTAGGTGATGTACAAAACGACAAGTTAACAAAGAAAGTTCAAAAATAAATTATCAACATTCACAACACACATTTATATGAGTAATAAAATAATTATAACAATTATCAAACAAAAGTATCTCCAATTAAATTTGATACCAATTGTTAATTAAGCCTATTTTAAATTATATATAATAACTCAGGTATTTAAGCAAATGTTCAAAGCATTGCCTTAGTTTCCATGAAATTGCCAACTTCACCACCTCTGCTTGTTTTCCTTTGAATAATTACTTTTATACATAGTACCGTCAACTTCTACAGCACCTTCAAACATAAATCACAAACTACTGCCTATATCATTCTCCCATCTTGGGCTAGCATCCTTTTCGGGCTAACATCATAAGCATACCATCATAAGCATATAAACTCCACATCTCGGATGGCACTACAAATAAATGAAATCCAGAACTACAATAATATTAATTCATTCACATACCAATTAAATGTACAACTAATCCACTTTAATCATATTCAAGGCAAGTATAAAGCCACATACCATGTAATGCCTATGTGCATTCCACTACCTGCATTTACTATTCAACGTATAATTAATACCTATGGAAGCTACATAATTTCACATTTATAAATTATCAACAGTACTTACATAGGCCCTTTTAAATTTTGTTCTTGTATTTATAGTGCACACATTTCAGTGGTGCTCTCCATTACCTACCACACTTTCTTAAACCTTAGGTGATTCAGCTTGGGCATGTCTACTGCACCAAACCCTTTCAGTTCACCTTCTATCACCTCTCCTGTGCAACTGTCAACAGGATAATTCCTATTCTACCAATTTGATCATAGATTAACATAATTACACACTTCACTTATGTGCACTTATCACCAGTTGCACGATCCCCTAAATGTGAATCCAGATCCGCCTATGTGGTCTATGATTCGACAAAGTATGGAAAAGATCCAAGCATGGAAAGTGACCAAAGTGCCGGGTGGAAAAACCCAGTGCAAAAAGATAGAAAAAAATAACAACATGGAAGATAAAAGAAAAGATGTTACTGTACTTCTATTAAGAACAATGACTACTTGTGGTATCTTTACAAAATGTGTTTTCCTCCTATGGTAGAAAGAGATCCGAATGTCGAATGTCCCGGTGGCTTCTATGGCGAACAGTGCACCAAAATATGTCACTGTGAAGACTCATCAAATTGTAATCGAAATAGCGGAAATTGCCCAGTTGGTGATGCTTGTAAAGAAGGATGGGCTGGGGAAGGCTGCCAACAAGGTAAGACAGACAGTTAAAAGAATGTATAATGTCATCCAGATTATAAACAAAAATAATTTCAATAAAGTTTAGTCAAAGAGTATAAAATTGTAAATGTCCTACCAAAGAGTAATCTATGACTGCAAGAGGTCCCTGATGTTGTATGCACTGTCACGATATAGGGGCGCCATATTAGAATTAAAATCGCTCAAAACTCTTCTTTTTAAGGACACACCCCTTCATAACAATACTTTTTGAAATAGGATTACTTTCCAATGAAACCACAATAGTCGGATTTCTTGCAATTTTATACGTATTGGTTTAGGATTCCTTTTAATCAACCACAATAATTTAAACTGTACGTGATGGGCCAAGATATGCTGCCTTATATGCTGCCAAAAAAGGTAAGACATACATAAAAGAAGTATAAAATTTAATTTAATTCCCATTATATACAATGAACTTAATTTTCTTCCAAACACTTTTAAGCCTAATGTGGTCTTAACTCCGTGAACCTAAACGAGACCCTAAGTCTTTCTGGACGTTACTTTTTTTAAGCAGTATCCACTGTGAGATGGACTTCTTCGCCTCTGTTTAGGGTTTATCACAATTACTTGTATTAATTGATTTTGTTTTGCTCCAAATAATGGTCTTAATCTAGATTATGTGTGATCACGTAATTGTTAAAATACCGTCCGTTCTTGTTTATGTGTCCGTGTGACGTTATTTCATTCATTCTACCTGATTTTACCCTTATAAATTTTCCGATTTATTTTTAGAAGATGTATAAACCAGTGGGATCTAACATTTCCGACATTTTGTCAAAACTATTCTATCGAGAAATTAACTATTTTATCGGTAGAGAACTCTTTTAAAATTGAATATTCTGTAAACAGAGACATTTCTAACGACAAAAGAGGGGTTTTTTTTGTTTTTTTTTCTATTTTTTATTTATTTTTTTGTTGGTATATGTTCTTTGTTATTATAGCCACAAGTCTTGATTGAACTCCTCTTCTAAAATTAAGCCTTCTCTATGACGGAATAATTCATTTGTTGACAAAGGACTTTTTGTAGAGAAAATATTCACTTTTTGAAAACAATGTCATTTTAGTAACAAAACATTATTTCGTTGAAAAAGGCTATGTTCTCACACGGCTGCTAACGGATAGCAGGATCCGGATCCGGATCTGTCTCTTATACACATCTAGATGTGTATAAGAGACAGCTTGCCAACTTCACCACCTCTGCTTGTTTTCCTTTGAATAATTACTTTTATACATAGTACCGTCAACTTTAGCAGCACCTTCAAACATAAATCACAAACTACTGCCTATATCATGCTCCCATCTTGGGCTAGCATCTTTTTCGGGCTAACATCATAAGCATATCATCGTAAGCATATAAACTCCACAACTCAGGCAGTAGGTCCTTTTAAATTTTGTTCTTGTATTTTATAGTGCACAAATTGCAGTGGTGCTCTCCATTAGCTTACCACACTTTCTTAAACCTTAGGTGATTCAGCTTGGGCATGTCTACTGCACCAAACCCTTTCAGTTCACCTTCTATCACCTCTCCTGTGCAACTGTCAACAGGATAATTCCTATTCTACCAATTTGATCATAGATTAACATAATTACACACTTCACTTATGTGCACTTATCACCAGTTGCACGATCCCCTAAATGTGAATCCAGATCCGCCTATGTGGTCTATGATTCGACAAAGTATGGAAAAGATCCAAGCATGGAAAGTGACCAAAGTGCCGGGTGGAAAAACCCAGTGCAAAAAGATAGAAAAAAATAACAACATGGAAGATAAAAGAAAAGATGTTACTGTACTTCTATTAAGAACAATGACTACTTGTGGTATCTTTACAAAATGTGTTTTCCTCCTATGGTAGAAAGAGATCCGAATGTCGAATGTCCCGGTGGCTTCTATGGCGAACAGTGCACCAAAATATGTCACTGTGAAGACTCATCAAATTGTAATCGAAATAGCGGAAATTGCCCAGTTGGTGATGCTTGTAAAGAAGGATGGGCTGGGGAAGGCTGCCAACAAGGTAAGGCAGACAGTTAAAAGAATGTATAATGTCATCCAGATTATAAACAAAAATAATTTCAATAAAGTTTAGTCAAAGAGTATAAAATTGTAAATGTCCTACCAAAGAGTAATCTATGACTGCAAGAGGTCCCTGATGTTGTATGCACTGTCACGATATAGGGGCGCCCTATTAGAATTAAAATCGCTCGAAACTCTTCTTTTTAAGGACACACCCCTTCATAACAATACTTTTTGAAATAGGATTACTTTCCAATGAAACCACAATAGTCGGATTTCTTGCAATTTTATACGTATTGGTTTAGGATTCCTTTTAATCAACCACAATAATTTAAACTGTACGTGATGGGCCAAGATATGCTGCCTTATATGCTGCCAAAAAAGGTAAGACATACATAAAAGAAGTATAAAATTTAATTTAATTCCCATTATATACAATGAACTTAATTTTCTTCCAAACATTTTTAAGCCTAATGTGGTCTTAACTCCGTGAACCTAAACGAGACCCTAAGTCTTTCTGGACGTTACTTTTTTTAAGCAGTATCCACTGTGAGATGGACTTCTTCGCCTCTGTTTAGGGTTTATCACAATTACTTCTGTCTCTTATACACATCTAGATGTGTATAAGAGACAGCCAGAATATATTCTGCTTATGTTACTTAGTTTGTGACACTGGAACAACAGATAAATATGGACCGGGATGCCTTCTTGATTGTCACTGTGACGCTGCTGACTGTCAGCCGTCAGAGGGCTGCAACGAAGGAGTCACTTGTCATACTGGTTACACTGGCAGCCGTTGTCTAGGTTTGTACAAGTACATTTAGTTTTTATATACCACATTAATTAAATCATCAATTTTAATATAGTAATAAACTTATGATAAGGTTGTTTAAAAAAGAAATCAGAATGCATACAGCCATTAACTAGACTTACTATGTCTGTACAACATAGGGTATCACACCCAAGGTGGACTTGGAAACGTTGACTAGGGTGTTGTGACTATGTGTTTAGGTGATGTACAAAACGACAAGTTAACAAAGAAAGTTCAAAAATAAATTATCAACATTCACAACACACATTTATATGAGTAATAATAATAATTATAATAATTATCAAACAAACGTATCTACAATCAAATTGGTACCAATTGTTAATGAAGCCTATTTTAAATTATATATAATAACTCAGGTATTTAAGCAAATGTTCAAAGCATTGCCTTAGTTTCCATGAACTTGCCAACTTCACCACCTCTGCTTGTTTTCCTTTGAATAATTACTTTTATACATAGTACCGTCAACTTCTACAGCACCTTCAAACATAAATCACAAACTACTGCCTATATCATGCTCCCATCTTGGGCTAGCATCATTTTCGGGCTGACATCATAAGCATACCATCATAAGCATATAAACTCCACATCTCGGATGGCACTACAAATAAATGAAATCCAGAACTACAATAATATTAATTCATTCACATACCAATTAAATGTACAACTAATCCACTTTAATCATATTCAAGGCAAGTATAAAGCCACATACCATGTAATGCCTATGTGCATTCCACTACCTGCATTTACTATTCAACGTATAATTAATACCTATGGAAGCTACATAATTTCACATTTATAAATTATCAACAGTACTTACATAGGTCCTTTTAAATTTTGTTCTTGTATTTATAGTGCACACATTTCAGTGGTGCTCTCCATTACCTACCACACTTTCTTAAACCTTAGGCGATTCAGCTTGGGCATGTCTATTGCACCAAGGAGGTATAAAAATAAATATAATATTTTTATACCTCCTTGATTGCACCAACCCTTTCAGCTCACCTTGTATCACCTCCCCTGTGCAACTATCCACAGGATAATTCCTATTCTACCAATTTGATCATAAATTAACATAATTACACATTTCACTTTGAGCACATATCACCAGTTGACACTTGCTTTTAGCTCATCATTATTCATACAACTTTTCTGCGGGATACAACTCTCGCGACAGTGTAAGTTACAACAAGCATTATCAGCACATTGCCCAAGAAATGGATAAGATGTCAAACATGTTTGTGCTCATGGCGCTTCTGACACTCTAGGGAACCTTTTTAATTAAATATACTACTAATGTATTGATTTTATGTGAAAATAAAATCTAACCATACTGTCTTGTCTTACCTATGCTATATAACAAATGACTAGTAAATTGAACCACCACAAAAATCGTAATTACTAATTACCACTTTGTTCTTCAGCTGATGGAGTACAATGGAGCGATGGCACAGATGCTAACTACGGTGAAATCATCGATACTGGTGAAGTTGGTCGATGTGTTGTATACAACCAAGTAGATCACGTTTTCTCTTGGAAAATTCAGCTGTGCGCATCTGAAAATGCGTACGTGTGTAAGGATATTAGAGGTAACCAGTAGTGTGTTAATTCTCGCGTACTGAATTGTTTCTATCGCATGGGTGTAAAAAGTCAAAGTTACGAAGAGTTACAATTCAACATAATGGCTCAAAACACATTTTTCATTCTAACATTTCTTTTCACAGCATTAACAATTCTTTTTTTTACAGCATTAACTAGATCTTTCTTGCAGCATTAACATAGTTCACTCCACAGCATAGGTATTGTATTAACAGCACAGACCAATCCCAGACCCGCCAACTTCTATCAAATTACTGTGCCAAAAAGGTTAACATAGACTTATTTCAGCTTTCAAAAATATTTCCACTTGGATATAATTTCAACGGAAGTCGATGTAAAGGTACATTTCTGGTCAATCAAGTACTTGCAAGTCTGCTAGGTAAAGGTTTTGGATGGATTATCATATTATTCATTATTTTTATTGACACTATTATTTAAGATCATTTTATTCTGCTTGATGTACTATAAATATAGAACTGGTTTGGATTTAGAATATTTTCAAACATTTCAAAGGAGCTATTCGACTTGCTATAACAAAAATAAACAATCTAATAACAGAGAATAATCAAAAGCTAAATTAATAATTGAATATTAACACTTGTTAGA